GTGAATTATGGACAACTTAACTTATACTGTTTTACCTTTTTATGATATTTTACTTTTAGGTTATAAGACAACTTTTACCTAGAACGCACTCCCAAATAGTTGTTGTTGTTGTAGCTTTTCCATTAATCAAAGAATGCAAGATTATGGGACTGCCCGCCAGCTGCCCGCTGGAATACGGGTAGCCGGGCAGCGAGTAGGTGGTGGGGATTCGTCTCCCCACCCACCCCCACTGGTACGAATGTAGAAATCCCGGTTCGGTGCTCGCTCGTGGAACTCAAAACCATGTCAAAACACATTCTGACACGTAACAACAACATCACGGATTCAATTAATGAAGATTAAACCAAGAATCATCCCAATTACGTTCTAACACGGTTCCTAAACATGCCAAGACTCGACATCAATCACATAAAGGTTCAGGAGCATCCGGAACCACAAGAAATCTATACGCAAAGCCCTAAAGACAAGTCCTAGGCTAGACTCAACACCCGAGCATGCATAAACCCACCTAATAACACCAAGAATATCATAACACGAGATTCACGATATAAACCCTAGGGACAAGCTCTAGACATAATTAAATATAAGATCACACATATAATCAATCACAACATCAAGATCATCAAGATTATTAAATAAACACAACATAAACCCTAGGCAAAGCTCTATCAAGACTCAATCACAGAATCACACTGATATGCTTAATTTCTAGGCATTATTTAGAGTAATTTTAGTTAGTGATTTGCATAAATAAATTAAGTTTTAGGGTTAATTTTATTATAAATATTATATTTAGTTATATGTTACTAGTTTAGACTAGTTTAGATGGGTTTTAATAAATATTAGGCTAATGTTGCATTTTTATTAATATTAATAAGAGTTTTATTTTATCTATAATATTAAAATTTACTTAGTAGTTTTATATCATCAATTTTTAAATATTGCTTTAATAATAAAGTTTTATTAAGTTGTGATTAGGTTATAATTGTTGGGCTTTAATTTAATTTTGTTTCTTTCTTTTAGAGATTAGCGCAACAGAAGAAGAGAAAAGAAAGAGATTAAAAAGGTTTGAGGGATTTGGCTTTTATTTATTCGTTCAACAGAGATACAAAACAGAACAGGAAAAAAAGAGAGGAGGGTACGAAAGCTGGGAGCAGCGGCGATTTCGGCGAGAAGATTCTATCGCAAGGGGTTTTTGAACTTTAATCCGCTATTTTCTTCTTAAGCTTGAATTATTCTTCTTCTTTATTTTATTTCTTTTTTAAATTTTCAGAATGATGTTCTTTGAACAATTTATGCATTTAATTATGATTATTGGCTAGAACTTTAATTAGGGATTTGGATTAGCCTAGATTAGATTAATTGACTATTTTTCATGTGTTGATTCTTCCAATTCCAATTTAATAATTGAATTTGATTATATTTATTTTATGTATTTTAATTGTGGATTGTGTGACTGGCCATTGCATAATTCTAATATTAGGGTTCATAAGAAGAACTGACAGGTGAATTATGAACCCTAGAACTCGTAAGATAAACACAATTGACCTAAACTAGACATAGCTTTAGGTATTTGTGGTGATATTTGATTGTTGCTCAATGGGTTCAATTAATGTTGGTGAGATATCGACGGATGATCACAGTTAATTGGATACAACCTAGTAGCTCGACGGAGTATTAGGATATATTTGAAGCAATCATCACTAAAGTCCTAAGAATTAATACTTATGAGATTTAGTTAATTATCTAATAGGTGAGAACCCCTAATCCCTAGTCTTTTCTCAATTGAAAGTTTTCCTCTGCTTTAAATTCATAAATATTCTATTTGATTACATTAATTCTATTTATTTACATCTTTCTTTATCAACAAATTGATTATTTAAGTTAAAAGTCAATAGTGTTCTTCGTGGGATCGACCCTGGAATACTCCAGGAATTTATACTGTGATCGACTTTGTACGCATGCAGATTATAGCAATCACACACATCAAAGGGGCCAATCAATAAACAATAGCAAGAAAAATAGGTATTGTAAGACATGGGTTACCTCTTAGCCCTAATCAATATCATTGGCTACTAAGGTTCTTCTCTAAGATCCTTCTCCAATTGATCTTTCTAGGTTCGGTGGTGGGGAATTCCTTTGCTAGGTTTCCTCGGGGGAATATCTCGCGTGATAGAATTAACTGTGGTGGGGTTTCTGAATGCTTTCTAATCCCATATATATAGATTCAGGTGTCCTAACTAGAGTCTGAATAGTAAAGGCCCACTTTCCCTATTCCTAACGGATTAAAGACTCGGTTAAGGATAAGGGACCATGATACATTGTGGACCATACTAATTAATCAATGGGAATGCTAGTCCAATTAAATCCTTTTTAATTATACATTAATGGAATTAATTTCATAATTAGTCCGGATTCGGAGGCCGTAACACGGGGTGTTACAAATTTATCCTAAAAACATAGTTTAGCACGGATATATCCTTCAAATCTTACTTTTCAT